TTTGGTTTTTTTTCCTTGCTTTTTCTGTTATTGATTTCTACTATTATGGCTTTATGGTCAGAAAAGATGCTTTGTAATATTTCGATGTTTTGGATTTTGTTAAGGCTTGCTTTATGGCCTAATATGTGGTCTGTTCTGGAGAATGTTCCATGTGCATTGGAAAAGCCAACGTATGCTTGGCTGCTGTTGGGTGGAGTGTTCAGTATATGTCTATGAGATCAAGTTGGCTGATTGTAGCATTTAGCTCTTCCGTGTCTCTGTTGAGCTTCTTTCTGGATGTTCTGTCCTTCACCAAAAGTGGTGTGTTGAAGTCTCCTACTACTATTGTGGAGCTGTCTATCTCTCTTTCAGTGTTATTAGAGTTTGTTTTATGTATTTTGGAGCCTTGTAGTTGGGTGCATAAATATTTATTATAGTTATGCCATCCTGGTGTATTGACCCTTTTATCATTATATAGTGTCCTTCCTTATCCTTTGTGGTGGATTTTACTTTAAAATCTATTTTTTCAGAGATTAATATTGCCACTTCTGCTCTTTTTTGAGTGTTATTTGCTTGATATATGTTTTTCCATACTTTGAGTTTTAGTTTGTGTCTTTAAGTCTAAGATGTGTCTCTTATAGGCAGCATATAGACGGATCATGTTTTTTTATCCAATCTGCCACTCTCTGTCTCTTTATTGGTGCATTTAGTCCATTCACATTCAGCGTAATTGTTGATAGGTATACATTTAGTGCTGTCATTCTGATGTCTTTTTTTGTGTGTTGTTCACAGTTTCTTTGTTCCACTTAATTTTCTGTGCTGAATCATTTTTATTTATGTATTTTCTTTTTATTTTTTTCATGGTTGTTGATTTTGTATTTGCTGAGTCTTAATAATTTTGCTGTTTTTTATTTTGACTTGTAGGATTGTTAGTTTCCTTTGTGGTTACCTTAATATTTACCCTTATTTTTCTAAGTTTATACCAGTCTTTTATTTCTTTATATCGCCTTGACTTCCCCCCATGTGAAAAATCTACGTCTACATTTTTTAAGTCCTTGTTTTTTGTTTTAATGTTGTCATCTTTTACATATTGACATCTGTTTCCCTAGTTTCAGTGTTTTAGCTTTGATTAATTTTTGTGACTTCCCTGTCTGGGTTGATATCTGGTTGCTGTGTTCTGTGTTCTAGTCTTGGGTTTTTATCTGTTGTTACTGGTTTTCTAACTGAAGGACTCCCTTTAGTATTTCTTGTAATTTTGGTTTGGATTTTGCAAATTCCCTAAACTTCTGTTTATCTGGAAATGCCCTAATTTCACTTTAATTTGTGAGACAGTTTTGTTGGATATATAATTCTTGGCTGGCTTTTTTTTTCCTCCAAGTCTTTATATATGTCATCCCATTGCCTTCTTGCCTACATGGTTTCTGCTGAGTAGTCCAAGCTTATTCTTATTGACTCTCCTTTATAGATGAATTTTCATTTATCCCTAGCCACTCTTAAAATTCTCTTTATCTTTGGTTTTGGCAAGTTTGATTACAGTATGTCTTGGTGACTTTCTTTTGGGATCTACCTTATGTGGGGTTCAATGAACATCTTGGATAGATATCTTGTCATCTTTCACGATATCAGGGAAGTTTTCTGCCAACGAATCTTCAACAATTCTCTCCGTATTTTCTGTTATCCCCCCTGTTCTGGTACTCCAATCACTCGTAGGTTATTCCTCTTGATAAAGTCCCACATAATTCTTAGGGTTTCTTCTTTTTTTAATCCTTTTATCTGATTTTTCCTTAAATAAGTTGGTGCCAAGTGCTTTATCTTCAATCTCACTAATTCTGACTTCCATTGCCTCAGTTCTGCTCCTAAGACTTTCTATTGAGTTGTCTAATTCTGACATTTTATTGTTAATCTTCTGGATTTCTGATTGCTGTCTCTCTCTATGGATTCTTGCAGCCTGTTAAATTTGTCAGTATGCTCTTCTCTAATTTTTTTAATTTCCTCTATTGCATGTTCTGCATTTTGCTAAATTTCCTTCCTAATCTCTTGAAGTGTTCTATATATTAATCTTTTGTATTCTGCCTCTGGTAATTCCAAGAAATTTTCTTCCTCTGGAAAATTTCTAGAATCTTTATTTTGGGAGCTTGCTGAAGCCATCATGGTCTGCCTTTTTATGGAATTTGGTATTGACTGTTGTCTCTGAGCCATCAGTAAGTTATTATTTTATTTTATGTTTGCTTACTTTGTCCCAGCTTCTTGTTTTGTTTTGTTTTGATATGCCCAAATAGGCTGCTTGTGTGAGCTGCTTTGATTATTGGAACCTTTGAAGCTTTAATGTCCTGTCACCGGATAGTTTAATCTGGTACTTAGTATGAGAGCCCAGGATTCCATTAATTTTTCTTGTATGGATTCAGCTCTGGTGTCCAGGTATTCGGTCACCAAGTATGTGGTGCAGGCTCTCACCTACAGTCCTAGACAGGCATGGGTGATTGGTGTAGGCACAGGTATCTGGCTGCAGTAGGGGGTCACACGCAGAGCAAGGCAGGGGGCTGACGGCTGCCTCTGAGTGTCTGAGAGGAAAGTGTGTCTCTGTTCCCTAGAGCGAGTAGGTAGGTGGGCTTTGCAGCTGGACTATGAGCACTCAGTGCTGTTGGCTGTCAGGACTGGGAGGCACCTCTTATTCTTGGGCCCCTGTTGCAGGTGGCTAGGTGGCGTGGGTCTAGCCACCAGTCCTCAGGCCCCTGATGTGGGTAGGTAAAGACTCTGCTTAATGGGCAAAGCAGTGTCAAATATCACAAACCTGCCACTTCACAGCTGAAACAGTTGACATTAGACTTCAGGTATATACCCTGTTGTACTGCGGTGATGAGGCCCTACGCTGTTAAAACAGGCTCACACAAGTCTATGCAGGGGGAAGGGCACTTAAAGTCTGTGTATACCTTATGCCTGTGCCTAGGCAAAGGAGCTGTTCCTACCCTGAATTCCTGGCTTAGGGGAGCTGGCAGATTATTTTTTCCCTGTTTGTTAATTTGTTCACTCTCCAAGCCTGGGAGAATGGCTCAGGGCTTGTGACGGGTCCTACTTCTGGCCCAGGGGACTCAGCAATTGCTGAAGCCTGTCCAGGCCCCAGTGCAGAGCAGGGAGCGAGCAGGTAAATGGGAGAGGGGATTTTCCCTAGGGGGGGGTGTTTTTGATCTGCGTGGTAGTCTGGATGCAAGTACTTGTATTTTGCTGATCGAGGGCTGCTTCTCACTGGTTCTGGATGCCTGGTTAGACTCTGCTGCGTCTCTCCCAATGTGGAAAGTGCCTCCCGAACACCGCAGCTTGCCCGCCTCATCGCTCACCACTGAGCTGATCAGGCCTGAAGGCCTCAGGCTCTCACCGGGTCAGGTCTGGCAACTCCTCGCTGTTTCCAAACCATCTCTCCCTCCCACTGCCCCTCAGTCCAGTTTCTCAGCTTTGCCTTTGATATTCAGAGCTCCTAGATTTTCATATATAATCTATTTACTTGTTTTTTTCAGGTCTCTGTTGTAAGAGGAACACTGGAATTGTCCGACTACTCTGCCATCTTGGCACTGCTGCCTCTAAGGCTGTAATTTTTAAGGAGGTAAACTGTCATCTCTTTCTCCTGCAGGGCAGGTGGTGAGTTCAAACCGTCGACTTATCAGTTAGCAGCCTAGTGCTTAACCTTTGTGCCACCAGAGCTCCTTAGTTATGAACTAGTGACCCACAATCCCATCAAGGCCAACATAAATGTTTGACTTCACTACTGCAGTGCCTTAAATAGAATCAGTTGCCAGTGTGAAAAAATGAGATTTCACTTTAAAAATATGACTTTTAAGAGACTGCAGAAACAACAAGAGTATGGCCCCTGGACACCCTTATAGCTCAGTAATGAAGTCTCTCCTGAGGTTCCCCTTCAGCCAAAGATTAGACAGGCCCATAAAACAAAAGAAGACTAAAGGAGTACACCAGCCCAGGGGCAAGGACTAGAAGGCAGAAGGGGACAGGAAAGCTGGTAACAGGGAACCTAAGGTTGAGAAGGGGAGAGTATTGTCATGTCATGGCGTTGGTAACCAATGCTGCAAAACAATACGTATACTAACTGTTTAATGAGAACCTATTCTGTAAACCTTCATCTAAAGTACAATAATTTAAAAAAAAAGAAAAAAATATGACTTTTAGACTTCTTTTACCTAAACAGATTTAGCAAAATTAGGCAAGGGCTTAGTTCCCACACCTCAACAGTCAGTTGACTCTAAAGAGCAGCTTCTCCCTTTAAATGAGGCATGTTCACTAGTCAATTCACTACTGTCTTCCCACTGACTCTTATTTTCTGACACTAAAGCCAAATTTCATGGCCAATTTTCTTACACCCTACAGTTTTCATGCATATCCATTACTAATCAGACCTCTGTTGACATTTGAGTTTGCAACACCTATGACTCCCAAACCTTGCCAAAGATCCTAGCTTGGCGTCAACTGTGTTGTGGAGAATTACACTGACAGTGTCCCTTCCCAGAAGCTGAGGTAGAATGGCAGTCTGATAAACATCAGTAGCAGCAGAGATAACGTCTTCTCAGTCAGCAGGATGAGAAGGCTGCAGGGAAGGACCTGGCTGACCCAAAGCTCCTCCAAGCAGTGCAGTCAACAAAAGGACTAATTTTGTTAACTGAATAAAGAAAGGCTTTTCATAATAATCTAGACATGAAAATGAAACATAACTTCATTTTGTAGTGACAGTCTAATGAGGCTGGAGAAGTCACAGGAGTCTTGGAAGGATCATCTCAAAGTCACCTCTTCAAATTTACCTATAACCACTGTTCCACATGTTTTCTTCTCAGTCTTACCTTGCATGTGAAGGCCTGTTGCCGGGCTTTGGCTTCAAATAGAACAGAAATCAAGCAAATGGGGAAGCACTACATGAGGGAAATTAAAGTAATGACATGTTTTGTAATGGCTGTGAAATATCACTGATTGAGATTTGGGTCACACCTTCTCATAGAGAGCAAATCTTAAACTTTTACTTTCCTTTGTAGGCATGGATGTTTAATCTATATGTATATTTTGGACATACCCATTGCTATCAAGTTGATTCCAAATCATAGCAGCCCTATAGTACAGAATAGAACTGCCCCACAGTGTCTCCAATGAGTGACTGGTGGATTCAAACTGCAGACTTTTTGGTTAGCAACCAGTCTGTTTAACCACTGTGCCACCAGGGCTCCTGTCTTAGGATGGGTTCTCTAGAGAAGCAAAACCAGTAAGGGTATAAATATATATACAGAGAGAGATTTATATCAAGAAAACAGCTCACATGATTGTAGAGGCTAGAAAATCCCAAGTCCGTGGATCAGGGTAGAGGCCTTTTCCAAGTCACGCAGCCACAGAAGCTGGCAAGCCCAAGATCGGCAGGTCAGAGAGCAGGGTTCTGCTCACGGGCTGTGAAGATCAACGAATCCCAAGGTCAGCAGATAAGCTAACAGCTCAAGTCCCAAGAACCAAAGATGAGATGATAGGAGGCAGCCGCAGGATCCAGAGTGAGAAAAACCCAGAAGGTCTGCTTATATTCAGATACAGGCCACACTCCCAAGGAGACTCCCTTTCATCTGATACGCTACTCACAGTATATTCAATCATGGGAGTGATCACATTAAAACACTGAGAATCATGGCTAAGCCAAGTTGGCTCACTATCTTAACCATCATAGCCCCATTTTGGACATACGTATAACTTATACAATAGAATTCTGTGTATTATAGAATTGGCAATGTATAAATTGTGCTGTTGTATAGGCTGTGCTTCACTTTATTACACTTTGTAGATGTTGCATCTTTTACAAATTGAAGGTATGTGGCAACCCTGCACTGAGCATATCTGTCAGCACCATTTTTCCAACAGCAGGTGCTCGCTTCCTGTCTCTGTGTCATGTTTTGGTGAGTCTTGTAATATTTCAAACATTTTCATTATTATTATATCTGTTATGGTAATCTGTAATCAGTGATCTTTGATGTTATTATTGTAATTGTTTTTGGTGTGCCACGAACTGTGCCCATATGAGACAGCGAACTTAATCAATAAATGTTTTCTGTTTTCTGACCTGCTCCACGGACCAGCCATTCCTCCATCGCTCTCCCTCTCCTCGGGCCTCCTTATTCCCTGAGACACGACAATATTGAATTTAAGCCAATTGATCACTCTACAGTGGCCTCTATGTGTTCAAGTGAAAGGAAGAGTAACACACCTATCACTTTAAATCAAAAGCTAGAAATGATTAAGCTGGATGAAGAGGCATGTCAAAAGCTGAGATGGGCCAAAAGCTAGGCCTATTGCACCAAAGAGCCAACCTGTGAATGCAAAGGAAAAGTTCTTGAAGGAAATTAAGAATGCTACTCCAGTGAACACATGAATGATAACAAAATGAAACAGCCTTATAGCTGATATGGAGAAACTTTTAGAGGTCTGGATAGAATATCAAACCAACCACAACATTCCCTTAAACCAAAGCCTAATCCAGAGCAAGGCCCTAACTCTCTTCAATTCTGTGAAGGTTGAGAGGTGAGGAAGCTGCAGAAGAAAAGTTTGATGCTAGCAGAGGCTACTTCATGAGGTTTAAGGGAAGACACAATCTCTATAACATAAAAGTGCAAGGTGAAGCAGCAAGTGCTGATGCAAAAGCTGAAGCAAGTTACCCAGGACATCTAGCTAAGATAATTGATGAAGGTGATTACATAAAACAACAGATTTTCAATGTCGATGAAACAGCCTTATATTAGAAGAAGATGACATCTAGGACTTTCATAGCTAGAGAGGAGAAATCAATGCCTGGCTCCAAAGCTTCAAAGGACGGGCTAACTTTCTTATTAGGGGCTACTGCAGCTGGTGACATTAAGTTGAAACCAATACCCATTTACCATTCTGAAAATCCTAGGGCCCTTAAGAATTATGCTCTATAAGTTGAAGCAAAAAACAGACAAAAATGAGGAAAAAATAGACAAATTCATGGAAAAGGCAGAAAATTCATGGAAAATACAGACAAAAAAATGGAAGAATTCAAGAAAATAATATGAGAGCAAAATGCTAAAATAAATTCACAAGTAGAAGTCATACAAAAACAACAATTAGAAATCCAAAAGATAAACAACAAGATTTCAGAAATGGACAGCGTTACAGAAGGGCTGAGGAGCATGTTTGAAACAATGGAAGATAGGATCAGTGAAATTGAAGACAAACACTTAGCTACAACTCTGTTTGAGGAAAAATCAGAAAAAAGAACCAAGAAACCCTGAGAATTATGTGGGATACAATCAAAAGCATAAATCTGCGAATCATCAGAGTTCCAGAACAGGGGGAGGAAACGGAAAACACAGAGAGGATCATTGAAGAATTGCTGACAGAAAACTT